TGCTGGTATCACAAGTATGTATTATATACCTGACTTAAGATTTTGGTTGCAGCCGGACGGTGGTGGTGCATGCCTTTAATCCCAGCATTTGGGAGACAGAGGCAGGCGGATCTCTGTGAGTTTGGTCTACAAGAGCTAGTTCCAGGACAGTCTCCAACTTGTGATCAGATGTGAGCTTTCAGCTATTGCTCCAAAGCCATGCCTGCCTGCCTGCTACCATGCTCCCTGCCATGATGGTCATGGACTAACCCTCTGAAACTGTAAGCAAGCCTTGAGTTAAATGCTTTCTTCTCTACGTTGTCTGGATAATGCTGTCTCTCTCTTCAAAGCAATAGAACAGTAACTAAGATACAAGATTTGCCACTGACTATCATTTGTGTCATTTCTTCCTTACAGGTCTGCATAGTACCTTCTGCCACTATGAAGTCTAGTCAGCAGGGAGGAAAATTTCAGATTAGTTCAGCTCGATTTCTTTGTCCTGCAGCAATCGAGCTGCAGTAGTAGGATTGTGCTATTTTATTCCGGTGGGCAACTAAGAGAAAGGACAATAGTCTATGTTGTTTGAGATGGAGATACTCTGGGGCCTCCCTGGCCAACAAGTCATAGGGAGATACCTTATGCTTGGCATTCTCCATTTATACAGGGTATTGTCTATGCTCAAACTCCCTTAAAATAGTTTTGAATTAGTTTATCCTTTCTTTTTTTTTCTTTTTGGTTATTTGAGACAGGGGTTCTCTGTGTAGCCCTGGCTGTCCTGGAATTCACTCTGTAGACCAGGCTTGGCCTCAAACTTACAGAGATCTGCCTGCCTCTGCCTCCCAAGTGCTGGGATTAAAGGAATGCACCATCACCACCTTGGCTATTCTTTATAATTTTTAAACTTTTAAGACTCGCCTTTATTTATTTGCATGCATGTGTGTATACATACATGTATGTATGTGTGTGGGCATGCGTGTGCTATGGTGAATATGTGGACCAACAGAGGACAGCTTTCTGGAGTTGACCCTTCCCTTCTAGCATGTGGGTTCCTGGATTCAGACTCTTGTCCATCATGGTGACTAATGCTTTTACCCACTGGACCGTCTGGCTATCCTGTCTTTCTAGTTTTTGTAACTTTAGGCAACAGTGTTGTTTTCTGTCATTATGTAATGGGTATCATCTTTAATCCAACTTTTTAGTTTGCTAGAGTTGTTGTAACAAAGTATCCCTGACTGAGTACCTTAAACCACAGAACTGGATGCCTTAAACTAGAGAGAGGTATTTATTGTGGGGTGGTGGTGGTGGATTGAGGGGTGGGGACTGACTAATGCCAAGTTGTTGGCTGGCTTGGTTCTAAGAACTGTGAGGAAGAATGTATTCCATGTCTCTCAGCTGTTGGCTGTTTGCTCATAATCCTTAGTAGATCTATGTCACTCTGATCTCTGCCTTCCTATCGCATGAGATTCTTCCCTTGTGCATGTTTGTGACCAAAATTTTTCTTTCTATGAGGACACAAATCACACTGGATCAGAATTATCTCTAAAAATACCCATCTCCTAATATGATGCTATTCTGAAGTACTGGGGTTAGGACTTCAGCATATAAATTTTTGGGAGGACACTAATACCAACTTTACCCTTTCTTTTTCTTATGCCTTATGCTCCCCCTCAAGGTGTTTTGAGGCAGGATCTCTCTCTCTCTCTCTCTCTCTCTCTCTCTCTCTCTCTCTCTCTCTCTCTCTCTGCTGGAATTTACAATGTGTTCCATATGGGGCCTGGCCAGATGGCTCAGTGGTTAATAGTGTGTACTGTGACAGCAGATGATCTGAGTTTGGTTCTCAATATGATACTGGGTAACTTAAACCATCTATAACTCCAGCTTTAGAGTGATATGATACCCTCTCATGGCCTCCCTGGACACCTGCACACACAGAACATGTACACACATGTAAATATAAAGAAAAAATCTTTTTTTAGAAGGAGGCCAGGTGTGATGGTGTATATTTTTAATTTTATCACTCTAGTGGCAGAGGATGGCAAAACGGCTATGAGTTGGAGGCCAGCCAGGTCCCCGTCAACACAGGGACTTCCCCCCTAACTAAAGCTACACAGTGAAGTGCTCTCATAAAAAGGGGAGGGTGAGGAAATTTAGGGGTCTAAATTCCAGTTTGGTTAAATTGACATAGGATAAAACCATCACATGAGCCAAATATCAACACTTGTCTGATAATGTGATAATGTGTGTCACACTAACTTTTCATTTAAGCCTCACATTTAACATAATAAATAGTAGTACTCCAGCTCATTTTACAAGCAAGGAAATGAAACCTCATATTTATTCATAGGTGATTCACTAGGAAAGCCAAGATTCTGCCCCCATCTGTGTAGTAAGCAGCCATCTTCCAAACTGCTTCCGAGTGACTCATGCCTGCTAATCTTCATATTTGTGTAGTTTCATTCCCATAAAAAAGGATGGACTTGAGTAATTAGTAAAACATTGAATAAGTGATATCAAATGATACTCAGGGCTGGATCGAAAAAACAAAACAAAACAAAAAGCCCCAAAGAGAGAGAGTGTGGGAGCAAGGTGGGGTTGTCCTTATCTGGAACACTAGCAAGTGAAGGAGCCAACCAGGCACCCAGCCTAACAGGATTCGGAGTGCAGAACCGCCTAGAAAAAAGGCTTTGAAATATGCTTAGTGTTTCTAGATACTGAGAGAAAGTGTTATCTAGAGGTTAAGCTGAACCTGCAGAATTAAGGCTTCTTTTTTCCTTTCATTCTTTCTTTCGTTTTCTTTCTTTCTTCTTTCCCTGAGGCAGAGTTTTGTTCTGTAGCCCAGGGATACACTGTGTAGACCAGAGTGATCTCAAATGTGCAGCTGTCCTTCTGCTCCCTTCCTAAGTATAGGAGTACATGGCCATGCCTGGTTTGGGGTTTCTTTTTAGCCACAATTTAGGGCAAGCTGAGTTGACATAAATAAATTAGAGGTTAAACTTTGTGTTATTTGCCGACTGACGATTTGGACTGGAGTTGGAGAAGATAAACAGCAGAAACCAGATTCTGGAAGGACAAGAGAAATCCTGACCAGTGGAAATGAAATGGGTTGGCACTCCTAAGGCTGTCAAAGTGAGGAAGAGGTGACATCATGGTCCCTTTGCTTTTGTCCCTACCCTCAGTCCTGTGAAATTCCCTTTGACTTTAAACTCATTGGTTCAGTTTATTCTTTTTTCTGCTCTTTCCAAATCTGCTCCTTTCCCTGACCCCCTTTAAAATAAGACATATGTGGACACAAAGGAAGTTTATTAGCTTATTTCTAGGGTTTCATTTAGCCCTGGTTGGCTTCCAGCCCCATATGTGGCAAGGATAACCTCTAACTTATGAATTTCAAGTGCTGGGATTACAGGTATGAACCACCATGCCTGGCTTGCTGCCATGCGGTGCTAGGGATCAAAGCCAGGACTTTGAAAGCTCTCTACTGACTGAGCAACACCTCAGCCCAAAGGAACTTTTTGTTTTGTTTTTGTGAGACATGGTCTCACTATGTAGCTCTGGCTGTCCTGATAGACCAGGCTGGCCCTGAACTCTTAGAGATCCACCTGCCCCTGCTTCTCTAGTGCTAGGATTAAAGGTGTGTGCTTTATACCCAACAAGACCAAAGGAACTTTAGAGAGGAAAAATAAACTGTACTTTTAATCTGAGAATCTCCTGCTTTTGACTTTTGATAGTTATCCTTTCCATAGTGTCTAAACTGGGTTTAGGGTTGGACAGAAAAGGCACTGTGAGTGCTATTTTGTCCAGATTCAAGTCACCCAGTCACAGTCACTAGCCCAGGCAGTGGAAGAGCCTTCTGGAACATCTGATCTCCTATGCTCATTTTATTTGTGGAGAATTTGAAGCCAGGAGAGTTCAAGTGACCAGTTGTAAGAGATGTCAGTTGAAGCTGGGCGTTGGTGGCTTTAATCCCAGCACTTGGGAGGCAGAGGCAGGCGGATCTCTGTGGGTTCCAGGCCAGCCTGGTCTACAGAGCGAGTTCCAGGACAGCCTCCAAAGCCACAGAGAAACCCTGTCTCGAAAAACCAAAAAAAAAAAAAAAAAAAAAAAAAAAAAAAGAGATGTCAGTTGAGCAATTGCAGTCATGAGAACACTTCTCGAGACCTGAATAGGTTCTCTTTAGTGGCTTAACAGTTCTCATTAGTAAAATGGATGGAGTGATTTGCTGGGGTTGACCGAGATTTCCATCCATGCAAGCACAATCCACCAGCTGCAGCAGCATCACCTCCGTGAAACCCTTCCTAAGATGTGAACTGATACCCAGCGAACGGGGTTAGAAAGAAAAGGTTGTTGGGCTTATATCAGCTTCGTTTTACACATTTATTAAGTGTGTATGCGTGCGGGCGTGCCGTGGAAGTCAGGAGACTGCTTTCAGTACTTCTCATCCCACCATGTGGGTGCAGGAGATGGAACTCAAAGTCCTCAGGTTTGGCAGCAAGAGCCTTTACCCACCGAGCCATCGTTGATATCTTAACGCCACTTAAAACTTGTTACCTTCCCTGAGACCACTACAAAGAGGCATTAATGCACCTTTGCAAAACGCACGACCCAACTTTTCCCAGAGGCCTTTTTTTTGTTTGTTTCTGTCCCCTTCCTCATCCTTCCTGATTTGGGACTAAGCATTCCAGACCCGCATTTAATCACGGTCTTGTCTGACTTCTTGAGACCGTGACTCCATCCCAGGACTGAACCAAGACTGCTTTAATAACTATGGGACTCCCTTAGAGACCGCAGAGTCTGATCACTACAGTCTCCCGTGTTCCTCGGGATGGGGACATTCCTTTGGACGTATACTCGAGCTCTGAAAAGGGCCCGAGTTGGTGTGGAAACCCACTAGTGGGACTTGGCGTGGTGTTTACAAACCCATACTGGACAGAGGCGGCTGGCAAGACGGAGGGGAGGGGCGGGGCGCCAGGGGGCGGGGTCAGAGTAGGCGGGGTGTGCCGCGGTCAGGTGACCGCACGGCGGCCAGCGTAGTCTGTGGAGCTGCTGCTGGAGGCTGAGTCGCAGAGGGGCCGACTGGGCGGGCTAGGTCCGTCGGTGCTGCGCGGCCACGGCCATGGGGGGCTTGAAGGACGAGCTGCTAAAAGCCATCTGGCACGCCTTCACCGCGCTCGACCTGGACCGCAGCGGCAAGGTCTCCAAGTCGCAGCTCAAGGTGGGTTCCCCCCGCCGGCGCTTCCCGGGGGAATGGACCCGCGGCGGTGTCCGCAGGGAAGGGTGGCTGGGAAGGCGGCCGGGCGGCGGTCCACGCTCTGCCTTCTGGCCTCGGGGCGGTGCGCGGGGGCTGGCGCGCTCCTCCGGCTCCCGCGACGGCTTGAGGTGCGCTCCAAGGGGTGTCGGGGAGCCCGTGAGCCTTAGCCTCGCCTCGGGGACGCGGAGCAGAGTCTACCCGCCCAGCGGCCACAGACCTTGGGGCAAGTGAGAGCGCGTGCCGAGCAGCCCGGATCTTGCTGGCTCTGGGCAAAAGCAATGGCCTTTGCAGAGTCCTAATCAGCGCTGCCCAAGGACCCCAGAGTATGAGGTACGCATAAAGGGACACTTGTAAGTTGAGTAAACCCCAAAGTGGCACTCGGCCAGGAGAAATTGGCAGCCTCTTGAAGAGTCTGAGATATAGAAACAGACAAGAAGGGCCATTCATAGGCATTTTTCAAATATACACATTTTGATCTGAATGACCGTTTTTTTTTTTTTTAAGTCTCTTCTGGGAAGAAGTTTCGAAGATTGGGTTTGCTTTGTATGTTTTGTGCAGTAAATGAGGAAGTTCTTTTTAGTAGTGGCTTTTATGCCGGTAGGATTTGGCGTTCTCACTTGTTTTCCTTTTGATCTTATTCATTAAACCATAGTCTGGAAGGGAGGATGGAAATTAGACACATACTTTAAAAATTAACATATAGGGGCCCGGAGAGACGGAAGGTTCAGTGGTTAAGAGCAACTGCATTTCCAGAGGACCAGAATTCCATTCCCAGCACCCACGTGGGGTGGGGCAGCTCACACCTGCCTGTACCCTCAGTTCCAGGAGCATCTGATGCCTCTTGCCTCTGTGGGCAGCAGCACACACGTTTTCACACTCATACACATAATTTAAAATTAATATTTTAAAAAGGTAATAGGCGTTTCTGGTGTACAGTTCAGTTAGTTTTAGCACATGTAGGAAGTCACCATCACTAGGATTTCATCAGTTCCGTCCCACAAAGCTTTGTCACACTGCCCCATCTCCAACAGGTGGTAGCCATTGATCTGTTCTAATTTTTCTTTTTCTACCGTCTGATATGATATGAATGGAATCTTCTGAAACTGGCTTCCTTTACTCAGAAATTGACCTATCTTGTGTGTACTGTTGTTATTGCTAGGTTATTACATTGTATAGGTGTGTCATGGTTATTCACTTACCCTTGAAGATTTATGTTATTTCTAGTTAACTTGTGATTCTGAATAGAACTGTATGACTTTGTTTTTACTTTTACCTGCTATTACAGTTTTTTTTGTGTGTGTGTGTGTGTATCTAGGTCTTGTTTTAACCATTCTGACACCTGACTTTTTTTTTTTTTGACAGTGTAGCCTTGGTTGTCCTATGATACCTGTTTCAATCAGGTTATTTAGGCCATTTACATTTAATGTAATGATTGATATTGTTAGATTTAGGATTGCCATTTTATGATTTGGCTTCTGTTTTCTTTTTTTTCCCTGTGTATTTAGAATTATTGTTTTGCCACTTCAAGGGGAATGTAGAAACTTTATGCCATGTGAAATCCATCACCCTTTCTGCCTTATACGTAATTGTCATATTTATTACTCCGTATACATTGAAAAATGTCAACATCATTATTTTTTAACTTTCAATTATAACTTTTAAAGAACTTAAGAAAATAGTTCATCTTTCCTTCATATGTCTCAGGTTATCCCAAAATTTCGTTGATATAGTAGTTGAAACTTCTGAGGTGTGATTTGTCCCTTGGTACAGTGTAATCAGTAGCTAGGTTAGAGCCAAGAATTTCACATTTTAATTTTTTTTTGAGACAAGGTCAATATAGCCCTATCTGTCCTAGAACTTATTGTGTAGACCAGGTTGGCCTGGAACTCACAGAGATCTTCCTGCTTCTGTTTCCCAAATGCTGGGAGTTAAGGATGTGTACCACCATGCCTAGCAAGATTTTCACAATTTAAAGCCAGTGTTTCTTTTTTGTTTGTTTGTTTATTTTTTTTGGTTTTACGAGACAGGGTTTCTCTGTATTGTTTTGGAGGCTGTCCTGGAACTCACTTTGTAGACCAGGCTGGCCTCGAACTCACAGAGATCCACCTGCCTCTGCCTCCTGAGTGCTGGGATTAAAGGCGTGCGCCACCAACGCCCAGCCCAAAGCCAGTGTTTCTTAATCCCCACCCCCGCCTCCTTTCCAGTTGAGGACAAGATGAGATAAAATTCTATTACTTTCGTTGTACTCCATTAACAATTTGAGGGAAAGAACCTAGGGGATTTAAAAAAAATTAAATAAAACCTCTGTCACCCTAGAGAACTTCCATTTATTGAATGTCATTGTGTATGTCTATGTGTGTGGGTGCCACAGTGTGGATCTGGAGATCAGAGGACAACTTTCAGGAGTCAGTTCTGTCCTTCCATTGGGTAGATTCCTAGGGTCAAGCTCAAGTCATCAGGCTTGGCAGCAAGTACCTTTAACTCACTGGGCCATCTTGCTGGCCCCCTAGGGGTTATTGACAGCAAACTAGGCAGGAAGTGTAAAATCTCAGTTCATAGTTTCAATCACATATTGTTAGCACATCTGTGAAGTTGTAGTTGGTCTCTCCTGTGTCTAGATAAGAGATTTTGGGCCGGGCGTTGGTGGCACACGCCTTTAATCCCAGCACTTGGGAGGCAGAGGCAGGCGGATCTCTGTGAGTTCGAGGCCAGCCTGGTCTACAAAGTGAGTTCCAGGACAGCCTCCAAAGCTACAGAGAAACCCTGTCTCGAAAAACCAAAACCAAAAAAAAAAAAAAAAAAAAAAAAAAAAAAGAGAGAGAGAGAGAGATTTTGGATTAAACTGGGTGGTGGTGGCACATGCCTTTAATCCCAGCACTCAGGAGGCAGAGGCAGGGGGATCTCTGTGAGTTCGAGGCCGGGCTGGACTGACAGTCTCCAAAACAATACAGAGAAACCCTGTCTCGTAAAACCAAAAAAAAAAAAAAAAAAAAAAAAAAGAGATTTTGGATTAATTTAGTGTGTACATCTTGAGAGTATTTTTGGAACTGAAAATACTTAAATTTCTTCTTAGTGTTTGAGTGTGTTTCATTGGTGAACAGTAGCGTCTTGGAATTAATGTATTAATTTATTCATATAAAATTTTTTGTCTTTTTTTTTTTTTGAGACAAGGTTTCTCTGTACTGTTTTGGAGCCTGTCCTGGAACTCGCTCGGTAGACCAGGCTGGTCTCGAACTCACCAAGATCTGCCTGCCTCTGCCTCCTCAGTGCTGGGATTAAAGGCGTGTGCCACCAATGCCCAGAATTTTTTTTTGTCTTTTTAATGTGTATAAAGTACCATGCTAATTTAATAAAAGCTTGGTTATTTTAGGACTTTTTTCCCTATGTATTGGGGATGGAACCCAGCATGCTATTCCTCTAACCCCATTTTTACCTAAAAACTGTATGTGTATCTGTGTATGCATGTGTTCTTGCATGTGGGTACATAGTGCTTGTAGAGGGCAGAGGATAACCTCTGGTGCCATGCTCAGGAATGCCGTGTACCTCCCGCAGAAGGTCACGATTAGACTAGGCTGGTTAGCTGTCGATCCCCAGGGAATCTTCCCGGTCTCCACCTCCCCAGTGCAGGGATTACAAGCACACACCACCATGCTGGGTATTTTCACATAGATGCTAGGGGTTGAGTTCAGGTCCCCATGCACTCACTTGACTGAGCTACATGCACCTCCACACAGCTCTGCTTATGTATTGATTTTTTTCACCTTTGTAGTGCTGCATCCTAAGCAAGCTCTTTATCACCCAGATCACCCAGTATGCTTCTATCTCTATTTACGTATCTGCTTATTTATTTTAACTGCTTTTTTTTTAAGACAAAATCTTTCTATGTAGTTCTGAATGGGTTGGAACTTGTTGTATAGACCAGGCCAACTTCAAACTTACAGTAATCTCCTTGCTTTTCCCTTTCAGGTGCTGAGATAGCATGTGGAAACCATGCCTGGTTTATCTTATTTGTTTATTCATTAATTTACTTTATGTTTGTAGTGTATATCGTGCGTGTGTGTGTGTGTGTGTGTGTGTGTGTGTGTGTGTGTGTGTGTGTGTGTGGGTGTGGGTGTGGGTGTGGGTGTGGGTGTGGGTGTGTTCTATGACATATGTGGAGATGAGAGGACAAAGCAGAGGAGTCAGTTCTCTCTTTCCACCCTGTGGGCTCTGGAGAGTGGACTCAGGTCACACCTGGTAGCCAAGCACCTTTATCCTTCATCAGTTAAGCCATTTTGCTGGTCTACGGTTTTCTTCTTTCTTCCTTCCTTCCTTCCTTCCTTCCTTCCTTCCTTCCTTCCTTCCTTCCTTCCTTCTTGGTTTTTCAAGACAGGGTTTCTCTGTGTAACAGTCCTAGCTGTCCAGGAACTCACTCTATAGGCCAGAACTCAGACTCACTGAGATACACCTTCCTCTGCCTCCCAAGTGCTGGGATTAAAGGCGTAGGCCACCACCACCCGGCTCTGTTTTGCCTGATTGTATGTTTGTGCACCACATATGCATAGTTCCCTCAGAGGCCAGGAGAGGGCATAGGACATCCCCTGGGACTTGAGTTACATGTAAACTATGGTGAGCCATTATGTAGGTACTGGGAATCAAACCTGGGTCCTCTGGAAGAACAGCCAGTGCTTTTAACTGCTAAGCTGTCTCTCCAGTTTCACCTTCATAGCTTTAAAAATTTTTGCTTATTATTATCATTGTGTGTGTGATATGTGTGTGAAATCAGAAGCATGTGTGCCATGGTATGTCAGTAGTGTTCAGAGAACATCTTTTCAGGAGTCTTTTATCTCCCTCTACAGTGGATTCTGGGGCTTGAACTCATGTTTTCAGGCTTGTGTTTCTGAGACATCTTGCTGACCTACCTTTGTAACTTTTGGCACAGATGGATTCATTTAGTATGTGTAGGATGGACGCTTCTTGTGTTG